GTGATGGATGCCACCATTATTCCAGTATATGGGAATGGAAAAAGCGAAAATAGCTGCCAGTACCAGTTGTATGAATCTTGCTTGGAGGTCCCCCCAAGGCCTCAAGCACACAGGGTTGAGAGTGTAAGACAACAGCGCATCAATCAGCGTAGAGTTCCTCCACTTGAAGAAAGAATCCAGCAACTCAGAAATATAATTGATGCAATGAGTGACCGAACTCAGTCTCCTGATGCTGGTGATATGAATGCTACATCAGGAAGAAGCAGTAGACTTCCCACTGCAGAGAGGGTGGGAAATCAGCAGCGTATTCCCTATCAAATTTCAAGACTTATATTGCAGCGAGCTGCTGCCTTTTCTTCATTTTCATCTGCATTGACTTCTGCAATGGATTCTGCAGAGAGGATAGTTGAGGACCTTGAAGCAGCTGTTGACTTGAGAAGAAGCAATCCAGCGCCATCACATATCGTTGATGGACAATTACCTTCTAATGTTCCTGCTGTTGCTCAACCAGACAGCCCGACTCGACATATCACTGCTGAAATCAATTCTACAGTATCCCCTTCAGCTACATCACCCAGAGCGGTGGATGTTACTGCTAATCTTGTATCTCTTGAAAACCAGACAACAGATACTGCTAGAGACTTCAATTCAAGAGCAACCTCTTCATCTCCATCTTCCAGAAGAATAAATGAACCATCAGGAACTTCAGATGTTGATGCTGGAGTTTCTCATCCATCAAGAAGGAGAAGGTTGGAATGATGTGGTCTTTTAAACAAGATTAAAGAAAATATGAGGTTTGTTATCCCCTGTTGTTGCAGTGGAAATTTGTTCTCTATACATAAAAATGTTGGAATGATTAATCATGGAACTTTTTTTATCATTGTACATGTTGTGCTCAGCTGTAACAGATTGATTGAATATGTTGGCTGATTATAGAGAAATATTTGACTTCCTCCTCTAAGGTTGATTCTTTTGTGGATATTTCAAGTATACATGGTTAACTGAGGGGATAAAATCCTTTCTTAAGAACAAAAAGAGCGCACCCAACTGGTAAGTTTCTCAACTTACACAGATAGCCTAATACTCTTCATTTTATCGAGAACTATTTATGGAAAATGATATGGAGACCATTGGATTAAAGTTGCTAGGGATTTTCACCTTCCAAATGCTTTCTATCCCATTGTTAAAGAGCTCAACCTCCCAACATTTTTTGTGAGCAAGAACTTCTTCTATCAGCTCCCGTTATTATTTATATCACTACCTAATGTATCCTCCAAGTAGTAATTGCCTTGCTAGATTGTTTTTCACCCATGGATTTCTGTTCTTTTGTTGCACATCTGTCACATTATAACTGACAACTTTCAGTCAAATATTGAGTTGGTGTCAATTTCCAGAAACTGCAGGTCATTGGAACCATCAGTGTTGTTCTGTTGTTACCCAAAGCCCTCTCCTCTTTGGTTTGTTATATAAGCAAGTCAGCATTATATCTTATCATAGTCAGGTTTACCAAGTTGTTTCGTCCACATTTAGATTGCCCTTTTGGACATACTGAAGAGCGACATTAGTCTGTCCGGATTAATATGCGTAGTTGAATTTTGATGCAGGAGAAATAGGTCGAAGAAAAAGAGAGAAAAAGTTTTTGGTACTATACCATTTGCATACCTATAGCGATACTGTTCATGGTATTGAAAGCTAGATTTTGGTTTGGGATATCTGAATTTTTTGTTTTTCCTTAACTGTTATCTAGATTGTTTGTAAGGAATTAAAGGTAAATTAGGAAAATAGGTAAAGAATATGCACTGTAAAAAAGGTAAAGATTGTACAAGAATAGTTTTGTCTTTTTCTATAATGAATTAGGGTTAGGGTTACAGTTAAGTGAATTAACAAATTAGGGTTAGGGTTAGGGTTAGGGTTAGGTGAATTAAGAAACAGAAAAATAGAAGAAGATTAGGACTATCATTCTACCGTTTAAGCGGTTATAACTACTTTCCTCTAGAGCCTATATATATAAGCATGTATTCAAGGAAAAGTTCTATCATAGTTTAATGTCTTCATTTATGATCAAACATCTTTTAGTTAGACGATTAGTACTCTACTTCTTTTTTTAAAAGAGTGAGTTTGAATTCTAAACTATATGTTTTTTGTTATAAAACAACTTATTAAGAAAAATATATTTATTAAAATTAATATGAATGATTTTCTATGTCCTAGAATTGCTAAATAAGAATAATAAATTGAGTTGTGGTATATGTCAAGACCGAAGGAACCGAGCTATCTACCTCGATGCTTGTATAACTAATGCTAGAGGTTTTCTCGTATACTTATCCAACTCACTACTTATAAAGATCTTCACGTTCAACATTCTTATCTTATACAGTTGAGATATGAAGACATTTGCGGACGATTTCTACCCGCATGTTATAATATATGCGAGAGCATATTGAGTCTATTTGTATGTATCCAAGAGGGGTACATGAAAAAGGGTTTTCTAAAAATACACAAAAAGATCTTCTATATTTGATAAGTTTTATCTTTAGACTCATTTATTCTTTTCTTTACTTTCCCTCTCTCGAATGTTTATTAGAATATGATTTCCTATTTTAAGTCATTATATTAGCTATTTGATTGTAAAGAAATCTATATTCATTTTAATATACTATATCTTTGTTGAATAATACATTATTTTTTCTTAGCAGATGCATAATAGATTATTTTTGTTTTGGATGAGTTTAGGTCAAATTGTATCTCAATGAGTTCATGTGATTTTGATTCATCATCGTTTTTTTAATAAAGAAAAAAACTAAGTTAGGTTTTTAACCCGTCATAGTTACTATAATTAATAAATTTGTTGTCATTTAATATTATTTTTATTAAGAAACGTAGTAAAATTATTAAGATTTAACTCAATTCGGTCACTACAACTCGAACAACACACTAGCGAGTAAAATTCTTGATTTTACTAAATCAAATATATTATAAACCAGCCATCTCTATCTTATAATACATGAATAAAATAATAAATCTTATATTCGTAGTAAAATCTAAATTTCTGAATTTTAAGTAGAACACAAGATAGTTATTAAACCATTGTGTTGTTTATAAATAAATTTAATTTTCGATATGATGTAATCCAACTTCTTTTAGAATTAAATCTATATGTTATTATTTATTTATCTTAAATATTCATTCAAATTTATTATTTTATTTTTAAAATACTATTTTATATTAAATATAAAAAATATATTTAAAAAAATTACGAGAATCAAACTTGAACTAAACTAGTTAGGTTCCATCTTTTCTATCTTAATTTTATGTTGGGTCAAATATTGGGGAGAAGCCTTATCATGGTAGGACCTCATGTTTAATGGGTGATGAGAGTGATGATCATGGTGATGATCATGATGTTGATATGGGCTGACAATGATTAGGTGGGCCCCTCGTGTTGACTGCCAAGACAATTGATTCAGACAAGGGCCACGAGACTGAAAATATAAACCATCCTTGTTCTTTTTTTTTTTTTTTTCTCAATATCCTCTTTTATGTGGTATTTCTTAATTAATCTACTCTTTTTTTTTTTGTAATTTTATGCTTTAAAAAATATTAAATCGTATATATATTTTAAATCGTGGACTCTTATACATGAAAATTAATGGGATCCAAAGTAGTCTCTGCTCCCCGATCAACAATTCAATCACCTCTTAATAATAAGTTTCAGTTTGATGTAACTTTTGACTGTAATTTTTATTTTTTAAAAAATATTTTTAAACTAAAGTAAATAAAACTTAAAATATTTTGACAGGAGTAGGAACCAAATCCACTTTTGATATGTACAAACTCAAAAGTAACAATATACCTAAATCCTTTTTTTTCATGTCTTTTCAAACAATACTAGAACCATCTTTCTTTTATGTTTTTCAAACTTCGCGATTCACCATTAATGTGCCATTAGTAGCCTCAAACTTCAACCGATAGTTGAGTCATCAATCAACTGGATGAGTTGATTCTATTGGGGTTAAGGCTTGATGCATGATTCTACTACCATGACATTTGATGTTGTTGAGTTTGTGATAGATTTAGTGAACAATAAAGCAAATATGACTTGTTTCTTGTCGACTAAGCCTTTTTTTATTGCTTTTCCACTAAAGTGAAGAATCTATTGCTTGGAGCATTGAAGTTTTCTATCATGTAGGTTGATTTTCGCTTCACTTAGTTACTTTTAAAAGAGCAAGTCTTCTTGCAATATCTTGTCACTTTAGAATTTTATCTCTCGGGATCACCCACTTTCATTGTTTTAAAGAGAGAATCTCTATTTATGGAGTTCAAGATGTAAGAGAATTTCTTAATTTTCTCTAACTATTTAATCCTTTTTACTTTTTTTTTATTTTAGATTCTTATAGTTTTAACTTTTTAAACTCATTTTTATTCTAAAAATTTTATTCTAGGATCTTAACCTAACATTATTATTTTTCTTTTTAATTTTCTAAAATTTAGCTTTTTTTTCGCTTTAGATGGCTACGTTTTTTAAGTGAAAGACGTGTTAATTAAGAGCACGCATTAGCCAAGACTAACACATGACTCTAATAAAAGGTATGTATCACTTGTTTGGGGTAGTATGTTATTCATTACTAATTAAAAGACACATCTCAACTAAGAGCACGTGTTAGCCAAGACTAGCACATGACTCTGGTGAAAGCCATGTGCCGCTCATTTGGGGTAATTTGTCATTCACTCTTAATTAACCACTTACTTTAGGCCCATGTTAAATCTTGGCATTTCCTTTCTTTACACCTTTGGTATTACTTTTATCTTTTGGTTCGTAAACATCATTGGTGCTCTTATTTGGGCCTAATGTCTATCTCTATACTAGTTATTAGCTTTAAACTCATCATAAGCCCATAACATTTGCCTTAGATATTCACCATTGGGCTTAAACACTTATTGTTGGATATTTGACTTCCACTTTAAAAACTTATTGTTCACAATGATGTTTATCATTAAACATCTCATCCTTCCTCTAAATACCTACAATGTATTCACCAAGTCCGCCATAGGCTTAATTGTGAATCTTTTAGCGTAATTTACATACTCACCAACATAGATTGATTTATAAGATGTCAAAAGGTTCTAACAATTTCTTCATATTAAAGGGACAAGAGATCCAATTACATTCCTCTCTGCCTCAATGTACTTAATCTATCTAGGTATTACACCAATGAACTAGTCCTTTAAGAAATAAAAAGCTTCACCAAATCCTGCACTGAAATTACTCCCACTATTGTTCTTTGTTACATGAGCTTCAACTTAATATCTCAAAACAATCTATCATTCACTATGATAATGTGAGAGCATTACCACACTTTATAGCATGATAAAACACCATATTACTTGACGACCATTTCATATGAGAAAAAGTTCAATTAAATCATCTTCAAGGCTCTGTATCTCTCTTCTTTTCCTAAAGACAAACTTGCTATATGCTGACAAAAATAGAAAAAGAAAATTGATCTTAAGAAATACAATCCAATATTATTTTTCGTGGTAATCATATTAGCAGGGAGGGAACATAGAAGATGGTGATTGGTATTCATAC